TTTTCTCTCCACTAGGAAAATGTTGCCTCTGTTTTCTGGCCATGGCACAGAGCCATTGGGACCTCTGTGGGCCAGAGGGCTCTGTGTAGGCAGTGGACTCCAGGGTAGTTTATTCAGGCAGCAGGTCAGTCTAGGGCTGTGGGCCAGGAATTCTGTATGTCTAGTCCCCAGTCCTGGAGTCGGGGAGCTACTTAGCGCTGAGCTACTGTGCAGTATTCATAAATATGCCCCACCCACATACACTTGAGGACCAGAATTCCCTGGAGATGTCTGTGTCTGGTTCCTACCAGCTGGATTTTTACAAAGACTAGACACTCAGCCATCCAGGCTGTGATTTGGGGTAATTCAAACTTACTTCCAGCCTGCTTTTTGATTCTCTATTAAGAAACACCAAGCGCAGTGATGCAATATCTTTGTTAGCCCTTGCCCAGTCAGGCCTCAGCCCCTGAGTGGTCCATACCACCCCTCAACAGAGTGGTAAACAACTCGAGTATTCTGTACCTTTGATGGTAAAACTACAGTCAGATCTGGTCTTAGAACAGTTTGCTAAATTACTAATGGCATATAACTCTGTAAATTCTGTTCCATCATTTCTTTTTATTGGCCTGTTGGATGCTAATGTACCTTTTTTTTTCCCTCTCAGAATATAGTTTACTTATTGGTTACTCAGTTAAGAAAGTATTTTCAAGCACGTTAAGTCCTAAGAAACTTTATTACAGATTAGTCAAGATAAGATGCACACAAGTCACTCACTCAAAAATGGGTTGTTGGTGATTCTCAGAATTCTCTGTCCTCTGTCCCTTCCTCTATTCCACTTCAGCTGTTAGGTGTCTCTGTTCCAAGAAATTCAGAGTACCTGTCATACCACATCTTATCAGAAGGAAATGAAATAATTAAAAGGCTTGTTTGTAGTAGGGCCGAGTTTTTCCTCTGAATAGTTTTTTGATGGCTCTTGATCAAATATTTACTTTAGCAAACCGCCCTTCTGGTATTAATAGTTCATAGTGTATATTTCGCCACATACCTATCAGGTAAACTATTTGGGGGTGAGTTCGTGATAAACTGGCTATCTTCCAACAAGGAGCCTTCAGTTTCACTTTAAACAGAACAGACCTCCTGAGAGCTGTCACCGTGATTTCCACCAGGCTTTGAAGGTGCTGTTTAAGCTGGTTCTGGTTCTTAGGTAGGGTAGAACTGTAAGTTCTTCAGATGAGGCAGCTGCAGAAGCTTAAAGTGATGAACTTGGCTTGGGACTGTGTCTGCAGTAATTCCTAAGAGTGGTGTGGTTTGGTTTGGTTTGTTGTTGCTTTTTAAATCAAAGGTCAGGATAAGATTTCCCTTCATGCTTTCTCCTTAGCTCCCTGGCCTCTGCTGTATCGCTTTGTTTTTTGCTAATTTACAGTAGCTGCTAGTCTTGCACTGGGATCTCCACTCAGGACACTGAATGACGCAACTCTGCCTGGCCCAATTTAGGGTCGGCATCCTTCCCAGAACCCACTTGGCTTCTCAAAGGTTAAACAGTTTTGGCAAAAATTACAGATCATGACTGAATAAAACCATAAAACTGAAAACCTCAAGGATGGGGGGGTGGGGCATTTCTGACAGTGATCCACATTCATGCAGAGAACTCATCTTTTTCAATGTTTATTTCTCGATTAAAGTCTTCTTGAATTTTTTTATTGTTGTTTGATTGTTGTTTGTTTGTTTGTTATAGAATTTCTCTATGTAGCCAGGCTGGCCTCAAACCCAAGATGCCCCTGATACTCCTGCCTCGGCTTCCTAACTACTGGCATGATACGTGCATATGCTGTCATACCTGACGATTGCTATTCCTTTTCTTGTTTTGAGATAGGATCTTCTATAGCCCATGCTAGCCTGGAATTTGCTGTCTAGCTAAGACTTACCTTGAACTCCTGATTCTCCTGTCTCCAACTACCGAGTGCTGGCATTGCTGGCACGTGCTCCCACACTGGAATGATCATTCTTATAATCTTTTTTTGTCTCATAATTCCCAATCTTAATGCCTTGAAGATCTTTGAATGCTCTTGGCAGTGGTGAACATAGAAACTATGACAGCTATTTGTTTTTTCTTTTATGAGAGCTTTTTCGTTATGTGGTTACAACTTTGAAAATATAAAACAAAAATCTTTTTGGCAAGGAATAAATATCTGAGTATAATTGATGTGATAGAATTTAGGGATCCATTCTTTTATTTCTCTATTAGGTATAGAAAATGAGTTCATTTCTATAGATAGATGTTGTCTAATATCACTGTCATCTTTAAAATGTGTTTTACTTTGTAGCTTCTTTAGGTGCTTGCTGATAAAATTTTTTAGAGTAGTCCAGAGTGTTTTGGGGTTTTTCTCATTTATTTCTAAGTGTGTCTGTAGTAAACTATGTAAAATCTATATTTTTAAGGTAATATCTACTTTTTATAAATGTTGATTAAAAATTTTTATTTTTTTATATGTATGACTGTTTTGCCTGCATGCATGTATGTAAGTGTACCACATGTGTACAATGCTTGTGGAGGCCAGTAGAAGGTGTTGAATCCCCTGGAACTGGAGTTAATATTTATTAGCCACCATGTGGGTGCTGGAGACCAAACCCAGTTCCTCTGTCACCAGCGAGCTAACTCTCCAGCCCCAGATTTTAATCTTTATGTAAGGAGCTTCATCTTCGGAACGTGTCTGACCTCCTGTTTTACCTCTGGAGCTCTTTTATATTGTCTCTGCTGCTCTTGTTCATTTTACACCTGTAGGTCTATGCTTTGCATTGGCAGATTCATTTCTTTAAATAAAGCATCGTCTCTCTAGGATGTCTGCTCTCTTCAATACACGTCAACAATATAATATGACTAGCAATTTATCAATTACCCAACTTAATGTTGACTTGAGGGTTCACATTGACTGTCAATTCTTCATTAAAACTGAAGCTCTAAGTAATTTTTAGAAAGGAAAGGAATGAGTTAATGCTAAAACAAAGCTAGATGATAAAAATCAACAATCAGTTGGAAGTTTTAGAATTTATAACCGACTTTCCAATGACCCACTACATTGGCAGTGTATGCTTAGCCTGCTGAATTAGAGCCCAGATCCAGGGGCAGAATCTTTCGTTGTTAGTCCTGGCTTCCACGCTCACTGACTCTGTTGTCAGTGAAGCTTCCTAAACATGCTGCAGCTCATTCTCTGCATTGGTAAAGTAAGGATCGTACCAGTACTGCTTTCTAGAAATATTATTAAAATTAAAATACATCATATTGGTACATATCTTAGGACAGTGTTTTGTAAAATATGCATATTTAAAATAAGTATTTTAAGTGAAGGTGATGAAAATATCTCTTTTCCTACAATACCAAATGTCTTGATTTTTAAAGACAGAAAATGCTATTTCTGCATCAGTGGTATATTTCCCTCCCTATATAAAGCAACCGCCCAAACTTATTACTTATCAGTGCATCCTGTGTGCAGCAGCCAGCTACTTAATCAGAAGTGTCATGCCATTTTCTTTGCTTTCTCTCCTGAGGGCTGTGGATTTCACCTCATTCCATTGAGTCTCCCACAATGCTTACTGGTTTTTGGCTTGTTTTGCCTTTTTGAGACAGGGTCTTGCTATAGCTCCAGTTGGCCTGGAACTTGATATGTAGACCAGGCTAGCTTGATCTCCCAGAGATCCACCTGCCTCTGTAATCTCTATCTCCCAAGGGCTGGGATCAAATTCACGTGCTATCATGCCGGCCCTTGCCCCAAATTTTTAAAAACAAGAATTTTATAATGTTTTATAATCTTATTAGATTGTGATCTGTTTGACCTCTCACCTTTCTGTCAGTTTATGACACATGGTGAGTGTTGTTGTTTAGGGAGATATCAGGAAACACAGAGAGGATGCACTTGCCACCAGAGGATTGGTAAAGCCACGGTACTTGTTATTGTTGGTGTTTGCTATTCTTTTTGCTAGAAGTAGGTAAATCTAGTAATAGTGACTGGATGCCTTTACTCCTCCTTTACATCTCCTAGGCACCAGTCAAGGACTTTCTTTTTTCCCTACAGTTAAGAGTTATGAATTTTGGGAGGCTTTTAGATAGACCCCCCTGAAGGGGTACTCCAGTTGCCTCACCCTGTGTCCTTGTTCAGCATGGAAGAAGCTAGAACAGTCTGTGTCCCAATTTCCCATCGGCAATTTGGATAACCTCTTCAGAGGATGGTGTGCTAAGAATAGGAGGTAGGAATTGGCTAGGCAGTTAGGGTAAAAAGACCCCAAAGAAAAGCAGCCAGTTTCTTGGCTAAAAGTCAAAATGTCCTTGGGCCTCTTAGCAACATACTCTGTTCCAAAGATCAAAATGCCAAAAGTATTTGGGAGCTCTTATCCAATCTCTAAAAGATTTTAGGGTTACCTCTTTAGACAGGGGAATGTAACAAAAAGCCCCATAAAAAAAAGAGTTTACAAAGTTGTCAGGAAAAAGCTGGGGTTTTTTGTTTTGTTTTGTTTTTGTCTTTTTGAGACAGGGTCTCACTGTAGCCCCAGCTGGGCTGGAACTCACTGGGTAGACCAGGCTAGCCTTGAACTCACAGACATCCACCTGCCTCACAGACATCCCCTGAACTCACAGACATGCCCGGCTATGATGGAGAGATATGGGAGGAGTTGGAGGGGAGGGAATGGGTGTGGATTTGATAAAAACATCTTACATGCATGTATGAAATTCTCAGTATTTTTTTTTAAAGTTAAAAGTGTGTCAGAATGATAATCCAACACATATATACAATTACAGACCTACGCACAATTACAACTTACTTAGTGCAGTATCTAAAGATCACTCATCTAGAATTTATTTTGAGCTCCTTTTTGTGTATGTGATTCACAAACAACAACAAAAGTGTAAAGCCATTTCTCTTTTGAGTTGCGACTTAGATCCATTCTTACCCAGTCTCTTGATGACATGTATATTTTGTGTCCCCTCTTTTTCTCACTATATGATCTCCTTGCACCTGAAAATGAAGACTGTTGTGTCCACTGTATCCTGGCATGCTTGTTCTGTGAATTCCTGACACTCTGCAATATTGTCCTGGGACAAGCTTCATGTGGCATCTGCACCTCGGAAGCCTGCTGCTGCTGCTGTGGTGACGAGATGGGGGATGACTGTAACTGCCCTTGTGACATGGACTGTGGCATCATGGATGCCTGTTGTGAATCCTCAGACTGTCTGGAAATTTGTATGGAATGCTGTGGAATCTGTTTTCCCTCATAAATATTTATCTTTCATTTTTGGTAAAACTGGAGAACATTTTATAATTTTTCTTATAAGGGGAAGAAAAGCATGTGGCGAGATCTCATGGCACAACTCAGTATTTACACTGTTAACTCGGTATTTTTAAGTATCTCTGAAAGCTCTTTTCTCTCAATCTCTGTGTTCAATATGTGAAGTTTTAACTAACTCATTTTGAAGCTTATCAGTAGGTTATAATAACTGAAAGACATTTTGACATACGCACCCTAAAATTTAAGTGTCTCCATTCGATTGATACTTCTGTTGTTTCTAATCATTCTTTGGAGCTCTTTGCTCTAAATATATTACTTCTCAGTAGGTATTGAAACCAGACCACTTATTGCTGATGTTTATCTATTAAAGGTTAAAAGTAAGTATTCTTTGATTCCAAGTAAGCTTGGGGCATCAGTCCCACACAGTCATGGGCACTTTCTGTCTGTCTCTTCTGTGCAATCTTCTCCACCTTCCAAACTTGTCAGACTGCACCACCACAGAACACCATCCTGATCTAATCCATAGCATCATGCAGCCTAATAGAGGAGGACAAGGTCTGTAAAGAATGAGCCATGCTTTGAGACATGCTGGCATTAGGACTGTAAAGGAGATAAATAGGCCATAGGAACAAACAGGAGAGAACTCCTAGGATATTGAGTACGGCTAGGAGAGAATGAGGGGCTGGAGGTGGGGCTTAAGATGACTGATTCATCTTTTAGTGGAATGAATTACTTGGATGTAGAACAGCATTTAAGGTGGACAGCCTGAGCGGTCTGTGTCCTTCGAGAAAGACTATGCCTTCATTTTACTTTCTCTTCAGATGCATCAATACAGCTTTTGTCAAACGATGGAAATACTCATTTTTCTACACATAATTTAAATGTTATAAAACATTGATGAGAACATAATACCTTATTAACAGCTATATTTTACACAAAATGTAGAACACTTTTTAATACACTTCATTTAAACTAATTTTTTTTCAAATAAAAAATCCCAGTATTCTGATTTTTGTTTATTCCAAGGCTTTCTTAAAGCTTGAGTGATTCAGTTCTTGGGGGAAGTGGGGTCTGTTTGATCTGGTTGGCTTCTCAGTCATGGTTATATTTCAAAAGCATGGTGATTCTTGGATTGTACTTTTCCCTTCAGTCCAGGAGGAGCCCAGATGTCCAGGACTGTGACCAGATTTTGTTATTACAATTTGTGTTAAATTAAGCAAAAAAGGCAGGTTATAAAGATTCTAAAGTATAAAGAAGGAAGTCTGTGATGAGGTTAATTATGTAGTGATCCAGTCAGCGCAGAACAGTAAATTTTAATTTTCTTTCTTTCTCTCTCCCTCTCCTCTCCTCTTCTCTTCTGTCTCTCTCTCTCCCTCTCTCTCTCTTCTCTGTCTCTCCCGCTCTCTCTCTCCCTCCAGCCCATGAGTTTTATCTCTCCAGATTTGTAATGTATATTCATTCAATATCATTCATTATAGATGTCTTGAAAGTGTATTTGGGTTAGTGTTTTAACTTGAGCATGTCATATTCTTCCTCTGAGATGAAGCCTAGTCTGTAATTAAATAATTATTTTAAAGTATTCTTTTTAAAACAAATACAAATATTTCCAGTGCAATATATATATATACACATACACTTTAAAATGCAGTGTTGAAATGATGTGTTAGTATACAATGATTTTCTTCCTCTTGTAAAGAATAATTGTCATTTACTACATCAAATATAACCAGAATCTTAATATTTCCATATACCCCAAATTAACTTTTGCTTATGTCTTAGGATATAAGAAGAACATTTGTTCACAGATAAGCCGCCTCCTGACCTGGAGTTATTAGAATATTTGATTTGTTATCCTGTTAGACTTTTGTACTCAGAGGTTTGTGTGATGTTTAAGTATATTTTGCTATGATTGCAATGAAAATATTAGCACATTGCAATGTTTCTCTGTAATAGCAAGCATCAGTGGAGATGCCAGAATTCTGTTTCCAAACGTGTGTGTTTTCTTCAGCTGTCTGTTTCAGCAGTCATCCCTTTAAGCATCTTGTATAATGCAAAAGAAAAATAGGCAAATGTGAAAATAGTTTCAATAGATCTTAGAATTTCTGTATGTCAAATGTTTTTTTTGCAATCTGTGGCCATTAAAACTAAATGCTACACTGTATGGTTAGATATTCGGTCTCCTTTTAAATGTGGAGTATTTTCAAACTGGAGATGGATTATCCTGAACATTCTAAAATAAAAAAAAAAAAACTGACTTCTTTACCATAGCATAACGTACTCTCTTTTTTAAAAAAATATTTTATTTACTATTTTTATTTTATGTGTATGCGTGTATTGCCTGCATATAGGTAAGTGCACCCGTGTCATGCCGGAGGTCAGAAGAGGGCTTTGGATTCCCTTGGAACTGGAGTTACAGAGGATTATGAGCGGCTTGTGGATGCCCGGAATCAAACCCGGGTTCTCTGAAAAAGCAGTCAGCACTCTTGACTGCTGAGCCATCCCTCCAGCCCCCCCCCATAACATACGTTCATATCTAATTGATATAGTCACTGATTTATATTTAAATGAATTCAACTATAATTTAAAACCTGATTTTTTTCTTTACATATTTATATTTCTAAAAACTTTCCCAATTTCTTTGTTTAAATCATGAGACTCAGGCCCACTAATAAACTAAGGAACATATTGAACATATTGTTCTCAAATTGCATTTGGCCTATGATATCAAAATACAGTGTTCTTTTAAAAATCCACACTGTGTAAAAATACAAGGTCCTTTTTTCTCACTTTCTGTCATCCTTCCTTCTCCTTCCCTCCCTCTCTTGTTCCGTCCTTCCCTTTTCCCCTTTTGCTATCCTTCCTCCCTCCCTTTCTTCCTACCTTCCTCCCTCCCTCCCACTCTCCCTCCTTCCTCCTTCCTTCCTTCCTCCCTCCCTCCCTCCCTCCTTCTTTCCTTCCTTCCTCCTTCCCTCCTTCCCTTCTTCCTTCCTTCCTCCTTCCTTCCTTCTTCCTTCCTTCCCTCCTTCCCTCCTTCCTTCCTTCCCTCCATCCTTTTCTTCCTTCCTTCCCTCCTGTTCCTCTCTCAATAGGGTCTCATGTAGCCCAGGCTGGGCTCAAACTCAATATGTAGCCAAAGATAACCTTGAACTTCTGATCCTCCTGTCTCTACCTCCTGGGTGCTGAGATTACAACTGTATGCCACCATGCTGGGTTTATGCAGTGCTGGGGATCAAATCCAGGGCATGGTACATGCTAGTCAAGCACCCTGCCAACTTAGCCACATCTCTGGTCCCTAGAAGAAAGAGCTTTCTAAAAATGAAAACTTGTTCCCTTAACTTAAAATTGCTGATTCCTCTGGGTGGAAGGCCCAAATCCTCATGGCATACATGAGTTTTATCTCTTGATAAAGAGTTTCTTCTTTCAAAAAAATTTCTTGAGAGGTTGGAGAGATTGCTCAGTGGTTAAAAGTCTCTTCTTTCGAAAAGATCTCATACAGTAGTCTGGGCCGGCCTGTACCTCACTATGTAACCCAGGTCAACCTCAAACTCACAGTAGTCCTCCGGTATAGCCTCTCAGGTGCTAGAACTGAGCCACCACATCTGCTCATTTTCTGTTTTTCAGTACATTGATTTCATTTATTTTTCTTAGGGAATTAAATCTCAATTTACAAAATTAAAGAAACACTTTCGCATATGCTGACACCGAACAGCAAGCAAAAAAATATTAAGATTTATGAAATTGTGTGTTTTATTTAGTAGAATTTTATAAAATATTTTACTAGAAGTCTGTCCACCTACGATGATCACTGACAACTGTTTAAAGATGTTCTGGAGTTAGTATTTAATGAAAACAACAGTGTAACTATTTATGAGTAGTCTTTTTAAAAATTTTTGTTGTTGTTGTTTTGAGACAGCGTCTTCCTATAGCCCTAGCTGGCCTGGAACTTTCTACGTAGACTAGGCTGGCCTAGATCTCAGAGATATTCCCTGTCTCTCCCTCCGAAGTTCTTGGATTAAAGGTGTGCTCCACCACACCTGGCTTTATAAGAAGTATTCTTGTTTAGAAAAATAACTGTTCTTGTGTCCTCATAGTGGGTCAGTTACCACCGTTTTCCTCCCTTGAACAGTTGGTGTCTGGTGTCGTCAGAGCAGTTCAAGGAGTAACCAAGGGCACCTTATATAATAACTTCCCATTCTTTATCTGCACAGACTCAATCAATTGTCCTAGATTCTAAATTTCTACACACTAGATGTCACTACCAAACAAAGCGAAGGCTGGAGTCCAGGGACCATTTAACCTTCCTTCTTCAGTACAACCTAATGATTAGGCTTACCCATCTTCCTAATCAATTGTTTATTAGCAATGGTAGTCTTAGTAAGATTAATATTAGCAATTGTAGTCTTAGTAAGATTAATATACTACTAGTAAGATTATTTTTAATTTAAGACTATTCAAGACCTTACTTACTCCCAGTTATTCTTGATTAATAGGTACATAGGATTGATTCATTTAATCTGAAAAACAAAATAAAATGTCATCAAATATCGTTCTCCTCTTCCTTTTGTACTAATGCAATAGCATACCAATTTTTTTAACAGTGGTTAAGATATTCCTTAGTTCTGCTACACATCTATGGTTTTAATCAAGGATTGGTACTGCAAGGGAGTCCTTTCAGTGTTCACCTGTGGGAGTGTTTTCTCTGTGTTTGATTTGATAGGAGGAACCTCAAGGAAGTGATATCAGCATAAGAAGTTTGAACTGAAGGAAGACATTTGACAAATCCCAAGAGAAAAAACCCTTAGCAACAGCAGTGAGGTTTCTGTTGTTTGCTTAATTATTTAAGATGATTATTAGCGGTTTAGGTTAAAATAGAAGTTGGGAAATGGAATACCATTGTGCTGCAGCCCTGCTATGGAAGTTAGTTTAGCAGAAGTGATCACTGGCAACTAAATTCACTACATATCTTCCCATTGCAAAATTCCTACTAAATAATGGCAGTTCCCTTTTCTTTAAAAGATCGTGACTTAAAAAAACTACACATAAGATCAAATTTTATGAAGTCAGTAGCCAATCTGGAAAGTGAAATTTAAAGTCGTGACCAGATCCCAGGTGAAAAGCAGAGACCCTCAATGTGGAAACCTGTCCCATCCTGTTCTTCACCAAAAAGAAACAAAGCAACATTTTCCACTAGGACCACAACCAAAGCTCTGAAGCAGCTAATCATGAAATAAGTAGTTATGTGTCTTCCAGTTGAGCAGTGAATGACAGCTGGAGTTCTGCTGTTTGTCCACTATTTATATCTGAATGCCTCCTCTTAGTTATTTGACAAATAATAAAGAGATTCATTCATTTACTTGGGCAGTAGCCAGGAAGAAATCTTTTTAGGAAAACCATCCTCTGATATATCAGCCACCAGGGTACTGATACATCCGTTAAAGACAAAGCAGTGTAGGTCTTCAGTTAGTTACTCACTTCTAGGCAGGCCCTTTTGTGAGATTTAGTTGAGAATATAATTATTAAAAAAAAAAAAAAAAACAGTGAGAAGCAAATTCAAACACATTCTAAGTTTAGCTTGAAAAATTGAAACGGTTCTTAAGTTCTGTCTGATGCATAAAGGGGCAGAAGCAAAGGAATTACATTCCAAAGCCAAGAAAGAGGGTGTACAAAAGCCGCTGATCCACTTGACATAGTTCATAGCCTTTTGCAAAGGAATAAAAGCCTGTTGAGCAGGGAGCCAAAAGATCTCATTATAGGATGAAGCCAAGCCATATTAAAGCTTGTGCACTAGTAACTATGTCTAAAAACAGCCTGCTGTTTTATATTGAACCAATACATTTCTTAACTTGGTAGGTTGCAGTGTAAAGATGTACAGAGCCTGTCTGCTGGATGCTATGCCAATTACAGATGTGGCAGAGTGGTGTCTAACACCTACAAACAGCACCGAAAGCAATTTCAGAGTGAAACAAAAGAAGTTTTGAAATGTCAGCTCAAAACCTAAGAGCACAGTTCATCATGTGCCAGACTCTTAGAGTTTTAAAATCACCTTTATTATATAATTTAATGTGGACATCATATGATCCCTCAATCCGAGTGCACAGTTCTTTTCAAGGACATGAATCGTGCCTGAGAGATAAGGAGAATGTCTTAAAAGTAACCCCTTCAGATGACAAGGCATCTCTGATCAGCTCTGCAGAAACTGGTTTTGTGGCATTGAAGTGAAAGGCAAGTGAAATACCCCAGAATACATATTATATTAGATTTTGTTAGATCACCAGAAGGAATAATTGAGCATGTTTACACAATTACATTTTAGTAAACTATTATGCCAGCTTAACTATATAGTGCATATTCTGATAAAAGTACATTAAATTTGCAATGTGAAAGCAATTTAGCTGCTGAGGGCACTATTTTATCTAATTATTCACAAATTAATGAACAAAATTAAATTCCAATCACTGAAGAAAACGAAGCAATGGGGAGAAACAGAAATACAGATTAGTTCAAGCAAGGATATGCAATGCATTTCTTTTATTCAAACTCAGTGCTTAAAAAAGAACAAATCCATCATGTTGAAATTTGACTTGTAGCTTGACATTCAAAATAATCTGAGTAGAATTTTCAGTGGGGTAAGCACAAAACTAGTTCAAGTTGTGTCACTCTCAATTACTGTACTCAGGTGGTGTACGCATTAAAATTCCCACTTGTGGGTTCAGCTCGCTATGCAAATGGGGTCATTACCTGGAGAATTTAATTGGTTATGACACTGGGAGTCGGACTTTCCCTTTTAAAATAAACCTACTTACACACATATTCACTAGAAATTTCATTGTTTTAAAAAATTTAGATTGTTTTGCTCTATAAATATTTACTAAAGTTAGACTCTTGTTTGTTTCTTACAAACAATTCAAAATGGATCCAAATTATTTTGATATGATTGTATTTGTCTATAAGACTAGTTGCACTGGATTGTTTGTAACTCGTTGCTTATCAAAATATTATTAAAAAATATTTGTATCTTTCAATCCACCCATGACATGTGGGTACATTTCCAGTACAGATTTCTTCTGTAGTTTAATTATAGCATTCTCTCATAGTAGTTCTAAATGCTTAATTTGAGAGGCTTCTTCCTTTTCTCCATTTGCCACTTTGAAAGAATGTACAGTTGAATATTTAACATGTCCTATTAGATGATTTTGATCAAACACCCATTATTGCTGAAGCCACACATCCCTAACATTTGCAAGATCCTT